GCCCCGCCTTATTGGGTGAGCGGGAGTACGGCGGTTTGAGTTGCAGGCGGAGCCCGCCCCGCTGACGGCCCGGGGAGGGCGGGGGGTCCGGACCCTCCGGAGCGGGGACCGGGACCGGGACCCCCCGCCTGGGAGCGGGGCCCGGGTTCTCCCCTCGGCAGCATCCCCACGGGAGAGGGACTCGTGAGCCCTCCCGTGGGCTTGACTTGCCCGGTGCCACGGGAACTGAGTCCGGGCATCCCGGGGATGCGGCTGATGGAGCCGGCAGGAGCGGGGGCAGAGGCCCAAAGGAACGATGGACGTGGAAAAAGGAGGGGAAAAAATATATCAGTGTTGATAAATGTGAGAAAAACAGCATTTGGATCGTATCTCTTGTAAACTTAGTACAAACGGGCGTTGTTAAGAGAACGCGTTTCTCTAATTCATACCGGCATTTGCTGCGTCCGCGGGATCCGCCAGCACGTTTGCCCCAGCGAGAGGGGCCTCCGCTGCGAACGCCCTCCCTCCGATGGCACGTCGCAACGAAGCAGGCTGCAAAGCCCTGGTGTGGCGATTCCTGTGCACGGGCACCGCGACACGCTCGAGGGGCCCCCGCGCCGGCACCCCCAGAGCCCCCGTCCTGGCTGCTGCTCGTGATGCTGAGAGAAGGAGCATCAGGAGCGAGCGTGCTGGAGAAGGGGCATGGCCAGAATGGGCAATTAGGCCCTGTCTGGGTGCTCGGGTTGTGAGGCTGCCTGGGCCACGGACACCTCCCTGGGCCATGGACACCTCACCGTGCCGTGTACATCTCCCTGTGCCACAGGTATCTATCTCCCTGTGCCACAGACACCTCCCCGTGCCACGGACACCTCCCTGGGCCACAGGTTTCTATCTCCCTGTGCCACAGACACCTCCCCGTGCCACGGACACCACCCCGGGCCATGTGCCGGGGGTGATTTCCTTTAGCTCTGAGTTGGCTTCAAAGCCAAAGGAAGGGTGGAAGACGCTTGGCCCTCAAGCCCTCCCATCCACGTGGCCCTTGCTGTGCTCCCCTCGCCAGCAGCTTCCCTCTCCGGGCCGGACTCCAGCCCCGGGTTGGTCCTGCTCCTGGCTCCTCAGCCCCTTCTGGCCATTCCTCTTCTCCATGGAGTTTCTCAGTCCTGTCAGACCCAGGTGCCAGGTAAATCACAGCAGCCTCCGAGACCCTCACCGGGCTTTTCTCTATCAAGGACCTGCTCCGGCTGTGCCACGGCCAGGCTGTTCACAGCCTGCTTTTCCTTAAAGCATTTCTTTTCATACATTTCCCGGACCTGTCCTACCTGTTTTGAGATCTCTGCGTGGCTCAGCCGTGTTTGACGGAACAGGTTCACACCTGCGTAGGACAGAGGGCGAAGGAGCCGGTGCATCACCCCTCCCCTTTCTGCCCCAGAAAACGCAGTGGATGTGACGCTGCTCAGCTCCGGCAGCATCAGCGCATGGGCTGTTCTGCTCAGCAAAGGGTACATCTGCAGGAAAATGAGTTTTTCTCTAGGTTCCTCCCACATCTCTGGGCTTGCTGCAACAGGCAGGAATAATAGGGGGAATTCAAAACGACCTTAATGTCTCTTGTCCAGTTTCCCTGCCTGGCAGGTCTGTCCCACCAGGAAAGCAATCCGGAGATACCAGAAGCAATTCCTGGTGCTGACTGTGGCTGGTGGCTCAGCGGAAGGACTCTCGCTCCTCCATGTGGAGCTTTCTGCTCCAGCAACCGGGAGCTGGGACGCAGCTGCCCAGCGCGGCTCCGGCCTTCCCGCGCCTTCCACACCGACGTGCCCTCAGGAGGCTGCCATGAGACAGGCCCATGTCTTCATCCTGGTCAGCTGAACAAGCTTAGGGAGCTTTTGAAAATTCTTGGAAAAGGCTTTTTGGGGTTTTCTTTTGTTTTGTTTTTTTTTTTCTCTCTCACTGAGTAGTTTATTTTGGGGCCAGCCCAGGCTCCTCTCATTGACAGAGCCACCTTTGTGGTTTTTTTTAAATATACACAATGCAGTTACTCCGTTCTCCTTCCTCCAAGCTACTGGGGAGCACCGGCTGCCGTTCAGCCCTGGCCCAGCCCTCCCTCCGCGCTGGCCCGCAGGCACAGGCAGTGCCACTCGCGCCCTGGTCTGGTGGCACCCAACACGCCGCTGCCCCTCTCTGGGGAGGGCACGGGGTGTCCGATGTCCCCTAGAAGGCTGGTGGCAGGCCAGCGTGTCCCGTAACCAGCCTCGCCACCCCTGGGAGGAGAGGTCGCAGCAGCCGCTCCAAACCCCAGCAGGGCGCTGGGGGAACAGGGTGCTGGCGGTGGAGACGCGGGCACCTTCCGACATGACGCTGACCGTCTCGGGGTGATGCTGGGTGACTGCGGCAGTAGATTAAGCCCCGTGCTGACTTCAGCAGCACGTAGGTCTTCACGCGTGAACCTTGACTCTGCAGAGGACACGTGGTGACTGCGGCCATGAGGTGGGCTCCTATGACCGTGTTCAAGCAGATGCTGTGAGCCTCTGCTGCCACGTTCTCCTGGGGGAGAGCAAGGTCTGGTGGGCAACCAGCCGCGTGGGGGTTGGTGCCTGGCCAGCACAGGTTACCAGACCGTACCCAGGACCAGTTGGGCGAGGCTTGGTTAAAACCAGACCAGGAGCTGTGCAAACAACAGCCCCGATGCCAAGTTCTGGTGTTACCGTCCAATTCGTTAGGTGCAACCGGTGTTAACCCCTTCTTTCACCCTGAAGCTGAGCGGGTGCGGAAAATCGCTTCCAGTGGGGTACCAAAGTGTCGACCCAGAAACGCACCCGTCCCCAGGAAACCTCTGGGCAGAGGCTAAAAATGGCGAGGGGAGTGTGGTCGGGGCGACGCAGCTGATTTTGCCTTGGGGGAGGGCTGCCTTGTTTGATCTTCCCAGTTCCGAGATGCATGGTGTTTTCCATCTTGTCGCTTACGGGGCCTCTTGAGGACACGCTCTGTTTGCTTTGGAGGGGGCCAGGCGCTTCCCACAATGTTCCTTTTCTTTCCTCCAGCCTGTTTTCCCCCCGGAGGGCCGGCGAGCAGGAAGCCTGGCGGCTGCTGGCAACTCACAGGCTGTCACGAGCGCCGGGAGAGGGGTGGCAGGCGGGAAGCTAAAATAAACTGTCCGGGGATGGTGGTTTTATTTCCTCGCTCTGCAATGTGCCTGGGGCCGCAGAGCGAGACTTTGTGTCGGTAGGAAGCGGCAGTCAGTCCTGCCCAGCCTCACCCTCCCGCCCCTCCGGCTGATGGGGTCTCAGCACGATAAGGAATCACCTGGGGCTTAAATCCAAGCGCGATAGACGCTGCAAGGCCTCCGATTAGAATCCGTCTAGCAATTGCTCTGTCCTGTTATAAATGCCGCTCTGCTGCTGCCGCTGCGGCCGGCTATCACAGGAGCGGCTACGCGGGCAGTACCGGTCACGCCGCGGCCAGAAACTGCCCAGCCTTTCATCTTGGTCAGGGAACGACCGTACAGCCGCGTTTCTTTGGGGATATATTGGTGGATGCTTGTATACTGAAGCCTGAAGCAGGGCCCTAAAAATGAGAAGCTCTACCCCTCTCCTGGTAGCGTATCTTACCCTGATGGAGCAGTGTTTGCCCTCTGTCTGTCTGCTTTCGGGGTGCTGGAGCTTTATTCATGATGGATTTTCTGTTCCACTGGCACGTTTGTGTTTCCTCTGGCCCGAGCGTACCTCCCTCCTGCTCGCAGGCTGTCCTGCCCGCTGTACCCGACCCAACCTGCCCTCGTTCTTATTGCTTTACAGAAGGAAATTTCTACCCGCACTGGTGCGATGGGCTGTGGAATCGGCCCCGGGGACTCTGTGCAGCAGGACAGACCTGTTCTGGTGGATGGCTGGATTTGGGGGGTGGGAGCGCGTTCACCGGCAGCAGCACCATTCGCGGTGGTTCTTCGAGGAGAGCCGAGATCCCACGGCTACGAGATCCCAAGGCTACAAGATCCCATGGCTATGAGATCCCACAGCTACGAGATCCCATGGCTACAAGATCCCATGGCTACGAGATGCCACGGCTATGAGATGCCAGGGCTACGAGATGCCAGGGCTATGAGATGCCAGGGCTATGAGATGCCACAGCTATAAGACGCCATGGCTACGAGATGCCAGGGCTATGAGATGCCAGGACTATGAGATGCCACGGCTATGAGATGCCATGGCTACGAGATGCCAGGGCTATGTGCTGGGGTTCCTTCAAGGCACAGCAGCAAGGGCTGTAGGAATATTTCTGCAGGAAAAGGCAGGGCTGGATTTGTAAGCTGGATCTGACGGAGCCTTTTCTGATGAATAAGGGCCGATGGTTACGCAGGCGCCGTGTGCGGGAGGGACCCGCGCCAGGCAGGCAGGGGCCGCGGCCACAGCAGGGAGGGCTTTTGTGCGAACAGGAGCAGAGCAAGGAGTGTTTGAAACCCCCCGCCTGCCCGCGCCGGAGCGGCGCTGAGCCCCGTGAAAGAGGAACCAGAGCGGGAAACAGAAGCTTTGACAACTGTCAGGGATTCTTCCTGACCCGACTGTCGCATCCGGATGGGGTCCAGCTCCCCGACTGCAGTCGCACGCAAGGAGGTGGCTGTGTCTGAGCAGCCGTCCATCCGTCTGTCTGTCTTCTCATCTCCTTCTGCCCAGCCGGGCTGCAGCTGCGGGCAGGATGGCATGGAGACAGCCCGATGGTGGGACGGGGAGTCGGTGCCGGGCTGCTCAGCGGCGAGAGCGCACTGACTACACCGGGGGCTCGAGGGCAGGAGCGTAGGCCACGGCGCTGCCCCCGCTCTCGGCAGCCTGCGGCCCCAGCACGGGCGCAGAGGAGGCTGCCTCGCCGCGCGCCTTCTGCCGCCTCGTGACCGGCCCAGCCTTGGCCTCCGGGATTTTGTGTCCAGCCGTTTCACTGCTGCCGCTGCTGCGTCCCTGATGGGGAGCTGGGCTTGCGAGCCGGGGGGCCTGGCCCTGCCGCGGCCATCATGGCTGGGGGGGTGGGATCCGCCCGGCTGCCTGCTGCGCTGAGGGAACCCCAAGAGCTTTTCGGTACATTTGCAAACGCAGGTACAAGAAGAGGCGTGAGACTTTCCCGGGTACAAAGGTCCCAGCAGCCCTGGGGTCCCCGTCAGATACACCCCAGCGGCCAGCCAACACCTGGCAGCAGCTGGCGCAGCTCACGGGTCGTGGTTTAACCCCAGCCGGCCACTGAGCACCACAGGGCCGCTTGCCCACCAGCGGGGTGGGGGAGAGAATCGGAAAGAAAGAGTAAAACCCGCGGGTTGAGATAAAGACAGTTTAACAGGACAGCAGAGGAAGAAATAATAATAATAGTAGTAATAATAATAATCATGATAAAAGAATAGACAAAACAAGTGATGCACAATGCAATTGCTC